TTGATAGTAGTCCTATTTTACAACCTGATGGTTCCATTTAGCCGCGCCAAACAACTGAGTTTATGATTGTGTTAATGAAAAGTGTATCTAAAAATCACATGAACATGCTGAAGTCTCTTTGCTCAGACGAAACAAACTACCACTCCGTTTCATTAATATGTAATCTAATGTACGAATTTATTTGCTTGACATCTCAAACACTGACAGTAAACTGTCTTTTAATTACGTCCACCAAACAACATAAGGTTTGAGGTACAGTTCATCTCTCAGATCCCAAACGCTTACTTTAAGAATGGACTGCGTAAATCCATAGTCAAGCAGCACTAGCCCAAGCAATCAAATGTAGTGAGTACATAAGTTATTTTGGAATTCTCAACAACATTGTTGGGTTAACGGTTGGCCAATTTTCAACGTGGACACACGTTTAATGAATAAATCAGGTGGTGAAAATTAGATTACCTAAAATTATTTCTATCAACTAATTGGAGTTTTCGAGTAACTACTAATTTGAAACCAAGTATTGGAGTCTAAAAGGATTAAAAATAATACTGACCTGTATAATCAATTATATGAATGGAAAATCTTTTACGGATTATGGAAGTAAATTGTGAAATTTGTCAGTGTGCGCAAGTGTCTTGTTGATCAGGGCATTTTAACTTGGTTAACCTGTGCAACATTGTGCATCGTTTCCTTGGTGACACAAAAAAGTCAGATGTTACGGGACTAAGCTCAAGATAATTGGAAAGAAGTGGTTTTTGTACTTGTCGTGATTATCCTTGCTTTGTGTACTTGTTTCCCCGAAAAGCACTCTTGGTCTACTTTAACTAAAAGTACTTTGGTTATGGTTTAAAACTTGATAAACTTTGTCCTGTGGTACCTTTTTTATACTGACTGACTGACACTCGTGTTCACATTATGATCATATTGTTTTAAACCTTTTTAATCGAGTTACAATGGTTAGTAAGACTTATAAATGACGACTACCAAACTGCTTGTTTCCTGTTGAGGAAGGCATGCAGTGCGATGAATGTAAAAAGTGGTACGATAAGATGTGTGCACGTCCAAGTCCTACGGCATACAAAAGATGCTCGAAGCCTAACTGGGATTGGCTTTGTATGTTTTGTTGTACAAATAAAAGTTACTAATTCAGGAGGCTACGAACCTATTGGCCTGTAAGAAAAACGATGGCGGTTGCGCTGACAACACGAGCACTGACAGTGAGGAATGTGTCAGTGTAGTACGTGCTGCTACCGGACCTGCTAAACACTGGACTGTGATCGACGCGATAGTAAAATCTCCGTTAACATTAACGAGGAGTGAAGTGCCGCTTCATATCGACATAGGTAATCATACATCTGTAGTGGAAATCGAAGACTTCCACCGTTCCAAATAGTCCCGGTGTGACTGTCGTGAGTGGTGATAAATGGACTTCAGTAGGGAGAAAAAGAAATGAGAGAAAAGAGCTGTAGGCGAAACACGGCTGGTTAGCAAGTCATTGGAAGAGAGGGTATCAGAAACAAAAATTCCACTGCGTGTCAAGACATCTCTCTGAGAGGTCAGTCATTTTATAAGTTAAGAGAATCTTCCGATAAAGAACTAAAGGCTAGATTTGAACCCGATCTCAGTCATATTAAGTCCTTAATAAGCAAACCACTCCCAGATACAGTTTCAGGAGTTAGTATTTATAGGCTTTATAGAATAGGAAAAACGATGTATTCTGAATGTCCTCAGAAAAACCGCCTTTTGAAGGTTACATTTACCACGGTTGAAGAAAGGAATCTGATTCTATGTAACTCAAGTAAACTGATTGGATCCGCAATATACGTCCGTGAGGACCTCAGCCTAGCTGATAGTATTAAGAGATGAGCTTCAGAAGTGAAAATAAGTGAGCGTCGCCGAAACGGTGAAAGAAACCTCGTTCTTAAGGGTTTTCAAATTGTAAAAGTTCGGAGCAAAACGACCCCAAACCACTCTGGGTGGTAAGGAAAAGTCCTCCACAGACTTAAAGGTATGCCACACAAATGCTCGCAGCCTAATAAATAAAATGGTGGAGCTCAAGTCAATGATGAATAAAGAAAAACCGGGTGTTGTTGCTGTCTCGGAAACTTGGTTAACTTCAGAAGTATTAGATAATAAAGTTCAGTTGACTGGTTTTTTATCCAGTAGGGATGATAGATTAAACCGTAGGGGAGGCGGGGTTATCCTGTACATAAAAGATACCCTAACCATATGAGCAGTTGAGGCAGTGGCACATGATTCACGGATATGTGAACTGGTGAGATGCAAGCTTAAACGTAGACAGCAAGATACTGAATTAGTTGTGGTATATGGCAGTCCAGAATGTGTGGTAAATGATTTTCTCGTAAGAAAACCCAAGTCTTGGTGTAACAATGGTAGAAGCCTTATAGTAGGCGACTTTAATGCACTGTATATAAACTGAGTTAACTTAGAACTAGAGTCATCGATAACGTCGTTCGATTGCAAACTGTTAGAAACCTCGATTGCATTAGCTTTATTCCAACACATTAGAGATCCCACAAGATACGACTTAAGAAACTCTTCTTCTCTTTTAGATTTAGTCTTCACACACGGTGATGACGTTGGCCAAATTACTTTTCTCCCACCACTAGGGAGAAGTGACCATGCAGTCATCTTATTCAAATTCATGGCTGAGATTGCATGTCAAACAGTTGCGCCGGCCCGTCCTGATATATAGCAGGCAGATATGCAGGCAATCAACTCCGCAGCATCGGCTGAAAACTGGGAAATTGACTCAAGGGAATCAGTAAAAGAGGCATGGACTCTTTTTAGTCAGTTATACAATCGGGTAACTCAACCATACATACCCTGGACGGTTCCAAAGAAGAAGCACGGCCATCCCTGGACAGGCTGGGATATTCGACGTTTACCAAGACAAAAGAAGAAATGTTGGAATGTTGCCATCCGCCTTGGCACAGATCGGTAGGAAAACTCGGGAAGCTCAGAGAAAAAATGAAATGCAGTTGGCATAATCTGCACTCAAGCAACCCAAGAGAATATTCTCATACACAAACTACAGAACAATGATGCATCACTGGATTCTCAACCTAATTAAAGGAGGGGTTGAATCTGAAATGATAGAGGAAGATCAAGAAAGAGCAGAGGCTATGGCTGACTATTTTGGGGCAGTTTTCACTCAAGAACCTCCTCTAGACAAAGAACCATACCCAAATACAGGGTCAACAGACCACCTGCTCAACGTGGATTTCGATTAAGACGATGTGCTTAAGGCTTTTAGTACCTTAAATATGGAAAAGTCAACCGGACCAGATGAACTACACCCCAAAATCTTGAGACATATTGCACAATATATTGCGGTTCCACTGACTGTGATATTGAATATGTCACTTGAAGAAGGTGTGTTATCTATGGGCTAGAAGGACGCAATCGTCACTCCTATACATAAAACGGGACCAAGACAAGTTCTATCCAACCAGAGACTTGTAAGCCTCACCAGTGTTGTAGTTAAAATAGTGTAAGGAATGGTCAAATGGACCGCAATGGCATTTATGGAAACCAGTAACTTGCTAAATATAGAACAACATGGTTTTAGAAAGCGTCTATCCTGTACAACGAACTTTCTTGTAGCAAGGGAGTTTTGGATAAAGGCGCTAGACAACAGAAACTCAGTAAATGTTGTCTACATAGACTTCAGTAAGGCTTTTGATAAGGTGTCAACTAATAGACTGCTACTGAAGTTGGAAAACCTTGGTATTGCCGGACGTCTTTTAAAATGCGTTAAGGATTTCCTAGTAGGACGTAGACAGGAAGTTAGAATAAATTCCAAGTGCTCCATCAGGAGACCAGTACTCAGTGGGGTACCTCAAGGTTCCGTTCTAGGTCCTTTACTTTTTATAATGTATGTTAATGATATTCCAAGTATAGTACAATCTCCAATGTTATTATACGCTGACGATGTAAAAAGTTGGCGAGTAATAACTGGAGACAAAGACACATTTACTCTTCAGGCAGACTTTAATAATATGATAAACTGGCCTAAAGAGTGGTTGATGCCTATCAACTCGGAAAAGTGTGTCTACATGCACTTGGGGGATTCGAAGGTTAATAGGTACAACAAAGGGGAAGTGCCATTACCCGTGGTTCGGTATCATAAGGATCTTGGGGTGACAGTGAGTTATGATCTCAAGACGACGGCCCATTGCCGGGAGGTTTCAGCTAAGGGGTTTCGAACGCTCTGGGCTTTAAAACGGATATTCACTAAGTTAGATACTGCATTGCTCGCCACAGTATACACATCCTTAGTGAGAACTAAGCCTGAGAGCTGCGCTCAGGCTGCGATCCCCTGTTTAAAATGTGACTCGGATATCCTAGAAGAAGTACAGAGTGCAGCTACCCGTGCAATTCCAGAACTCCAGGGTTTATCACACAAAGAGCGGCTTGAAAAGCTGAACCTCTTTACTCTGTCCTATCGCAGACTAAGGGGAGATCTAATTTTGATGTACGGAATACTGAAAAATGATTTAGGACCTAACTTTTTCTCTCTCTTTCTTCCACTAGATCGGGACATCTCAGAGGACATAGCAGGCGAGTAGAAAAGCCAAGAACGAACAAAATACCCGTGGAATACAGGTTTTCACGCCGAGTCATCAATACTTGGAACCTGCTGCCTGAAGCAGTGCTGTCTGCACCTTCAATTGACTCTCGAGAGAGAAGACTTGACACTCACAGAAGCATACTAGAAAAGGAATAACATAGGCCATAGGCCTTCTATCCTTACTACACAAATTTGAATCATAATTTACCGATATTTTTTGTACCTAATTATACTTAGGTTCCTTACTTGGGCATCAGTGACCCACTGCCACTAGAAATGGAAGCCAGCTAAGCGAAAGCTTTTTCTATTCCATGCACATCAACTCGGATCACTGAATATTGAAAGTTTGAAGGTCGAGACGAATTACGAATGTGTTGCGTAGATTTTGTCGATTTCCGCTTGACATATGGAAGGAAGTCTTTCTGAATCAACACCGGTGGATCTGTTTCCACAAGCCCTCCCTAAAATACCCTCAGATGCATCTTGTCCGAGATATCAACGAAAGCTGTCTGTAAGAGAAATAAAAATCCAACGATCCGAGGCTGGCAACAAATATGCAGCATTTACAAGACATTCTCGTGCTAAGGTGTGAGAAATTCCACTTTTTAAAATCATATTTGCCAGACCTACTTTTCATTTTACTGTTTTGGGCTTTAGTCATTATGAATTTTAATAACTTAGGGACGAGACTGCAATTTGACGCTTAAGTGTCCTCTGTTGCCAATTTTCAACAGCGCATGTATCGACGAAGATTGTCTGTATGCATCCAGCCTCCTGGTACCATTGGGGCTGGATTTTCTAATTATGCAGTGAATGTGTTAGCTAAGTTAAGGCTTAAAGATGAATCTTTATATTGTTATTCTATCAATCTGCCCACATTATACGCTATTGTGGACAGAGATGACAGTTTACTATCCACTTTACACGACAATCATGAAGACTTAACTTTGAAACTTTCGTGATACCTCTCGACAGTAAAATATGAAAAGTTAACATCAGTGGTGAGATCTAGGGAGGAAACATGTGGTATTCCTACAAGTCATCTGTTTTGTTAGGAGTTTACCCCTTTGCAGCTTTCACTAACGGTTATGAGCGATATAAATATTGTGCACTACTCGCGCCACATATGGGTGCTCATAAATTATGAATCAATACAATTTATTCCAAAGAGACTCATAAAATCTCTATATCCCTTCATTTCCATATACCGAAATATTTCTTTTGATCTATCCAAGTAACACAGCAGGCCACCTCCACCTATATTTATTTTGCCAAAGTAATGATTACGAGGGCTGTTGCCTAATGTAATGTTTGGTGCTGTTATTTTGGAACCGTTTATAGCATTTAAAAATTACATCTAATTCCAGTAGCTTAATGTAGATCAGACAGCAGGCCGGTTTAACTAAAACCATGGGAAGTCCTACCAATACTCGTATTTCAGAGGTCTATATTCAACATTCAAGTAAAGTACTGTTAACTAGTTCCCATCAGTTGGTTCGGAAACCACGTTGTATGTAATATTCAATCAGAGTAAGAGATAAATGTTTGGCATGCAACGTGTTTGTGTTATCTTCACTCTCCCTTCATCAGATTAGAGCGCAGATAAAATTGTTACCAACTGATTTCCAACAAAGTGTGCTCAACAGGTGTTACGGTACTTGCTGGCAACTTAGATGTGTGAGTTGAATGTCCAAGCACAGAGGATAGTGTTTTTGGTGATCGGAGACTAAATAACGGAGCTTGCACTCTGCAGCATTGTTGAGATCATGAACTACTATCAGTGACAAGTATCAACTTCCGACATAGTCGTGATTAATACTGCTTGGTGCCAGTTGTTCGGGATCCTGGCTTGAACGTCAATTAGACTAATAAAGGCGCGAATGTTTACATTATCACCAATTCTTTTGATACGCTTGCTTGGATTCTGATTATAATTCTTTATGCCCCGAAATTGGTGGTTAGCAAATTTGTCATCCTAAACTGGTTTATGTAGACAAGTCGTCTGAACCTACAGTAACCAAATATTAAACCAAGCTAACTTCAGGACTACTTACCAGTTAGTCAAAAAGTGTTGATGGGGATTATTTACATGTGCGAAAATCGCAAACATAATGAATAAAGTCGCTGTTCTGTAGCGTCCCGTTTATAAACATAAGGTCTCTGTAGGTTCCATAAAATGCCTTGACAAAAGTTAGTTTATTCTGGCAGATCGCGACTGCAATATTGGGGGTTGCTGTTGTTGTTCGAGGTATTCCCTTCGTGAAGGACATAATATCAAAGCAAATTTTTAAAATGTTAGGATGCAATATTCACCGTTGTATATCTGGAGAGTATTTTGCACTGGATTGTATAGTATTAGGATTATTTGCTAGAAATATGGTATCTCAAAATGAGATAGGGTCTTCAGAATACTTCTCATGTCAGTGAGTCACAAGTCACTTGACTTTTTAGTATCACCAGTGTAATTGTTTGATTGGTATGTTGTTAGCCCGACCTAGATTCCCTTCATTTTTAAAGAAATGCATTTGTAATGTCCCAATGAGTAGAAAAATTAAATTTTCTGGCATTTCTTGACTCAGTGTAAGCCACTTCTGCAAAGAATAGATAACCAAATCGAAATTAATCGAAGTTTTGTATTTGGTTATTTATTCTCTGAAGTGGCTTACACTGAGCCACGAAACGTCAGAAAATTTAATTTTTCTACTCATTGGGATATTACAAATATATTAATTTATAACAATCTACCCAATCCTCGATTTATTCGAAATTATCAAGTTAAACCTTGGTGATGATACCCACAAATTCATTCCTATTTGTTTCGCTTTAAGGTAGTATTTGATTCGAAACTTTATCGAACGTTTTATTGAAGTCATCGGAGATCCACAGGGAATTTTTCTATCTAAGTCACAATCTTGTTTTAAGTAAAATAGCTTTACAAAATATATATCTCTTTTTGTCTTTCTGTAAGTTGTTGGCGTTTTATTTCTATGACAGTTCATGTGAATTCCTAAGTTATTATAGACCGAACTAATAACAAACTGTATTTACTCATTCTTGACAATTATTTTATGAATAAACGTTTTGTTTGCTTAATATGTGAGTGGTATTCACAAAATAACTAGATATCTTACAAATATCTGCTTTAAAGAGAAACATAAGCATAGATGTTTTTACTTTATTCTGCAGATGGTTTGTTAAATTACTGATCAACAAAGGGATAGAATGAAATAAACTACTGATCGATGTTATAGTTTTAATTTTTTCTCATAACTGTTGCCAATTAATCTACTTAAGTAATGATTTTTCCTTATACTTGAGTTTACAGCACAAGAAATTCTACAAAATGCTAAGTACCTACCCTAGCATTTTAAAAATTGCTTATTTTAACCCAAAAATTAGGCATTATGGAAGACAGCCTTCAGTCTAATCTCCTCTCGTGGTGACCCATGGGAGAAGTTTCATTTGCAAGAACTTCCAGAAGAAACGGCAAAGCGTTATCGTTATAACGCTATTAAGGGCAAGTGGATAGAAGATATCGTACGTGTAAAAATCGAAAATTCACCATTCAATCGAGGTGCTATGAGAGAATGTTTTCGTGCGTAAGTTAGTTTACATTTATGTTGTAACATTTTCTCTTAAGTTGGGTATATTTTACCCGAAAATTTCAAAATGTTCGGGTAGATCTAGAAAATAATCTTGCATGTTTTATCATTATGTAGTCTAAGTGGTATAAGAGACGATCGTGAACGTGGACCTTAGACTGTTGCATCATTTCTACTCAGATTTATTAAAGTCGTAGCAAAAAAGAACACATACCCTATGAAGACTATTTACTCGGACACTTACGAGCCAGAGATTACGACCAACTGACATCTAAATTGGTACCATCACTTATTTCAAGCTAACAGTCGTTGTGTTTCTTAATGTCTGGCCCGTATTTGGCTCGTCGAATAGAATTGTGCTCTAGGATTATCTGCTGAAGAAGAGTATACATGTGAAGTTCATTAAAATCTTGAAAACTACTCAATCATCCAAAACAGAGTAAGGGCATACAACTATCTTTCCACTGTTCCATTCCAGCAGTGGGACTAGGTTTATTTATTTATTTATTTATTTATTTATTTAAACACACAAACATAAGTACAAAGAGGCATCAAATAGATATGCGCCACATATATCATTCGATTTGTGTGAAGTCTGAGATATTGCACAGGTGCCCAGACCGAAGCAGATGGTGTTCTTAGAAGGCCACACCCTGAACCTTTGAACTGAAGGTCTGATCCACAAGGTAGTGGAGCAACGTCAGAAGATGCAGTCCCATGGTAGCCAGTGACCAACAACTGGTTCATACGCCATTTGTTATCTCAGGATACTGAAACCCATGTGCACCATTGGTTTGGAATCCGGTTAAAGTGCCGGACATTCGCTTTTCGTCCTCTCAATTTCGTAAACAACACCCACGCCACGGGAAGGCAGTGAGTAAGACTTCCCTGGCAGAGGCTGTATACGCGTGGCCATGTGAGAGCATTTCGAGAGGGAGGGCGGGCCCACCCCACTCTCGGCCATACCAGGGCATTTGGGGGCGTGGGACTAGGTTATGTTTCCCAATCTCACCATTCCCACTCAGATTTACCATCAATAACATCCGAGAAGCAGCTCTGATGGTTGTGTGGATGTGTTACCTGGTGAAAGATTTTTTGATCTCGAGTATGCGGATGATATTGTATTACTGCCCAGTAAAACCCCGGGTATGTAAATCGGACTCAATCAGTTGGTAATTACTGACCATGAATACAACACGTACTTTCCACCCTCTTAATGCTGAGTACTTTTATAAGACGGACAGGACCCTGCGAAGAATTAAAAGTAATCGAAAAGCCCTTCCATCTGGTTAGTCTTATGAGTACTGGTGGTAGCGCGAGTGGCAGCTTATATCAGTCTGGGGCATATCTGGTACCTTCGGGATCTGAATCTCGCTGCTCGGCTTACAATGTGTCGGTGAGACGAATATTTCCCTATGTCTGTGAAACCTAGCCTCTCCGAGTTGTTCATGTTAGGCGACTCCCTGTGCTCGATCATCACTGTGTCCTAAGGGTTTCTAAGGTTCGGGAGCAACACCATGTTAATAATGCTGAGGTTCTGCAGTAGGTTTGAGTGCTGTGACAATAACACATTTGATGTCACTATCTTGAAATACCTTTTCAGGTGGTTTGTGCATATATTAAAAATGTCATCTTAGTGTGTTCTACGCCTTGCTTTATTCGCCGACATTGGAACTGAATGGCGAAAGAAAAGGGGTGGTGAGTTTACGACATGTCACTGGGGTATGGAGGAAAGGTGTATGAAGCTGACATCTGTTGGTCCATCAAGATTCCCTGGTTGTTATCATAGAGAAATTGCGACTCAATGGTTTGAAATGTCACTGAACATGGCTCAGAAGAGTCCCATAATGTCCTAGTACGGCCGAGAGTGGGAAGAGTCAACTCTCCCTCTCGAAATGTTCTCACATGGCCACGTGCATGCAACCACTACCGGGGAAGTCCTACTCACTGCCTTTCGCGGCGGGGGTTTTGTTTACGAAATTGAGAGGACGAAAAAGCGAATGTCCGGCACTTTAACCGGGTTGGCGGATATGGAGGATTCACTTAGGGGAGTTGGAAAACCCTGATTCCAAACCAATGGTGCACATGGGTTTCAGTATCCTGAGATAACAAATGGCGTGTGAACCAGTTGTTGGTCACTGGCTACCATGGGACTGCATCTTCTGACGTTGCTCCACTACCTTGTGGATCAGACCTTCAGTTCAAAGGTTCAGGGTGTGGCCTTCTAAGAACACCATCTGCTTCGGTCTGGGCACCTGTGCAATATCTCAGACTTCACACAAATCGAATGATATATGTGGCGCATATCTATTTGATGCCTCTTTGTACTTATGTTTGTGTGTTTAAATAAATAAAAAATAAAAAAGGCTCAGAATAGAAGCCAGTAAGGATCCTTTTATAGTTTTCTTCTTCATTCCAGAAGTGAAAGGGATTCCTTTAACTGAGAAAAATTATCCTGGTTGCATGTTTTTAACAGGACTGTTTCGGTCCAGGTTGCCATACCGCATCAGCACAACAAGATGAACACCGGATTCATAGCAGTGGTTATGTCAAAGGTGGTAATATATAACAGAAAGATTGCATATAGAGATATAATACAAGAAGAAAGAATTGGTTCGTAGAAAGGAAGATATGAAGCGATTTTAATCTCTTAGTTTAAGGGAAGACAGGGAGTGTATACACTGACGCCATTATGATCGATTCTGAGCCATGTCACCAAGAGTCTCCAACCATTGGTTACGATAGTCACGTGGACCCCAACCAAGTAGTCTGCATCTACCAACATGGCTCAGACTACAAGTTAGTGACTTCAAGCACTGATGCCACGTTTTGGTTTGGCCGCCCCTAACTTTTTTCCAACCATCTCCAATACCGGATAGCATTGCACGTCGTGGTAATCAGTGTTCAGGCATACGTAACACGTGGCCCAACCATCTCAGTCGATGAAGATTCATAACCTCATCAACTGATTTACCATCATTCCCTAATACCCTGCGTCTAACCTCACTATTACTTACCCGGTGATCCCAGCAGACTCCAGCAATATTTCTAAGGCATCTGTGGTCAAATACTAATAGCTTACGAGTGTCTTCTACTCTTAATGCCCATGTTTCGCTGCCGTAAATTAAAACAGAACGGACTGCCGCGCGGTATACTCTTCCTTTTATTGATAGACGGATATCTCGCCTTCGCCACAGGTGACGTAAGTTGGCAAAAGCCAAACGAGCTTTTCGAATCCGTGCTGAGATTTCGTCCGATACCAACCCATTAGGGCTGATCAGACTTCCAAGATATGTGAAGTTGTCAACGCGTTCGACTACTTCACTCCCTATCCTTAGTTCAGGTGTTGACGCAGACCAGTCCACTACGTATTGCTCTCGTTCACTTACTTTTATTCATTTGTTGTTTTGATTGTGTTCACCTTCCTTCTTCTATCTTTTCATGAACTCATTTCCTTATTCGTGCGGCGCATATTTATTTTCGTTCTCATTTGTACCAAAATCTATATGTTTTAAGTAAAAGTGAATAAAATCTCTTAAAAATTCCCATGTCATATCCATAAATAATTATACATGATTTGATTTCATTTGTGCAAGTGAAATTTCTTGTTTTTGTATAAAGTAAACTTTATTTCATGTTGAATACCATAACTTTGAATGAAATCGGTAGATATGTGAGATTCTCTAATATTTTTTGATTTCCACAGGAAGAAATTGTCCAATTTTTCACATTGCTCTGATTGGTCATATGCATCAAATCATGTTGCTAAACGTTATATTGAGAAGGTGAAACTCATGTGTATTTTGATGATGTTCGTTTGCAAATGGATGCTAAACTTTGGGGTGAAGAATATAGTCGTCAACCGTCTGCACCAAAAAAAGTAATCGTTCATTTGTTGACATCTGCAATAATTAAATCATATTTTCTAGCGTGTTTGTTTAAAGGTTGTTCACACAAGTATAAGTTGTTAGCATAGGGTTATGGAGATCGTTGAGTTTCACTAAAATCATGAAGCAATCTAAGTTAGGTAATCGTTTCGTCGTAGTATGTGACTGCTTGCCAGTGTGCACTGATGACTCTGCAGCCGGGAATCAAACTCAAGACCTGGCGCGTGAACGCTTAACTTCCAGACTACTGAGTCGTGATCAAATGGTCCACAAGATCGAAGGTCCTGAGTTTGATTCTCGGTCGTGGGGTCGTCAGTGAGCACTGACGAGGAGTCCCAAATTTGAACGAAACGGTCGTCCAGTGCTTCTAGGTTTTCAGTGGTTGTCTAACTTAGATCGGTCCATGATTTCAATAAATATAAGTTGCTGAGAGTAGCTATATGGCTCTTAGATTTCATCTATTAAATTTATGTACGAAGGATGCTAGAAGTCATCGCTATTATACATGCTGTGCTGTTTATGTATGAGGACAAGCTGTGCTCAACTCAAGTGTGGAATGAGATCACGGAAAAGGAGGGTCTCTATGACTAGTGAAAAACCTCAGGCGTCAGTCTGAGTAGTACATCTCAAGACCAAACTCTCCGTGATAGTGTCGAATATTCAGGTAAAAACTTCAAAGGTCAAGGCAGAATATCTTATGTGAATAGTAGTTAACTATGAGTTATGTGGATTTAATTGCTTCGGTGACCGGGACATTAATGAAGCATCTGATTACGAACTACTTCTGTATGGCAACTGCATGTAGCAAAAAATATTTTGTTTTATATTGTTGACTGTTTTTATTGAAAGTGGGGAACGTTGGGTGTTCAGTTACGATCTCGAGGAGACATTGGCAGAAGATATGTGTAGAATTTCTTCCTCTTTGTTAAGTGGGTATCTATGTTCTGGTGCCAGTTTGCTCAGAGTTCGAAATCTAACCTTCGTAAAGTACTATCATTGTATTACTCTTTAATCATCCGTATAAAGCTGACTAGGGCAATGTAGTTTTTCTCTCATACTGTACCCTTGTCTGCAACGGGTCTCCAAAATGAAGAATCCTATAGGCAGCTAAATGACGTAGCTAGAGGAAGACGGTGAATAGAATCCTTAGGCGTTGAATTATACCTTGGAGAGAATGGGTATTTGCGAAAACTTTGATGAGTATATGAGAACCGTGTAGTAGGACAGTCATAAAAAAACTCGTCTCTATTCACCCAAACTGTGAACGAGATGAATCTGCAGGAACAATTAATGGAACACTGAATACTACATTAACTAACTAAACTGATCGTTTTGTATAGATCAATAGTCAAAGACTGACAGAAGCCCCAAAACCCAGAGTTAAAATGTATACAGATGTTCAGCATTGCAATTCCAGGCAGTTTGGTTAACGTATATATTACCACCTTTGACCTAACCACTCCTATGAATCCGGTGTTCATCTTGCTGTGCGAATGCGGTATAGCAACCTGGACCGATGCATATATGTGCCTGGTCCTACGTTGTAGCTGACTGACTGACTGACTGAGGGAATTACTGTGAAGTCCTTTAAGGTTATTAATAAATAGCCGTGCACCAATCATCTCAAATCATCTACTAAAGTTAAAACCTGATTCATGTTAAAAAAAGTAGCTATTTGTCTTCCTTATCTTAATTGTATAATTACAACAGAAAAAAGCGAGTAAACCATCATGTTTTTATGCCATTCAGCTTGTTCTTTTCATAGCCGCAGATTTACTGGACTCCGTTTATATAAAACAGGCTCGTTATCTCAAAGTTGAAAACAGGCCTTGATTGTTTTTTGTTGTTGGTATAACGCCCAAATGTTAGTGCTTTCGGCTTTCAAATAGTAAATAGGTTAAATACCTGTCCTAACCCTAGTTTGGGAAGCTGGTGTTAGTATTACTAACTTTCACATAAAACAGTGTAGTTCACAGCTGAATACAAACTTTTGTAAGTTACAATTCTTTTTATAAGTATCAATGCCAAGGTTGTACTTGATAGTTTCAAATAAATTGAACATTGGATAAAAAGTCAATAATAAATATATTGTTTGTGGTATTCCAATGAGTAGAAAACTGTATTTCTGGGGTTTCGTAACCTAATGTAAGCCACTTCTTCAGCGCAAATAAATAACCGAAATAAAATTGACACAAGTTTAAATAGTACGAAGGAAACAATGAAGAATATTTTTCGTACGATCAGAATCATAATAGGTCTGAATATGTCAATGTCAAATTATATTACAATTGCACACATTTTTTATGCCCACCTTCTGACGCACAAATTAACATAATGACAGGTCACACAAATTCACCTTGACCAAAAATAACTCGATATTGACATATTAAAACCTATTATGATTCTGATTGTACTAAAAATGTTCTTTATCGTTAATTTCATTTCGATTATTTATTAACTCGGAAGAAGTGGTTTACATTAAGTGACGAAACTTCAGAAATACAGTTTTCTACTCATTGGGATATCACAAATAGTGTATTTACTATTACATTTCGTTTGTTTGAATCTTTTTCTTTATTTTAGTGTATTTGCTTCATTACATTGATTAGGTTGATATTTCACAAATGTGTGTATTGGAGTTTATTAATCGACCAGAGAAACCTCTATATCACTTGGAACATTTTATAGAAGGGACTTATCGAAAGTATAATTCAAATTCAGGATTTGTAGATGATTTATCACGAAACACTCCTCAGGTGAATTACTCGTTCATTTTCTTGGTTTTTCGATTGTTTTTTTTTAAATTGAAAGACTGAACATTTCAATACTGTCTCCGGTGTGTGTGCATCTATGTGTGTTGACTTATTTACAAGAGAAAAGGGAAAAGATTAATACAGTTAAAACTGTTGTAGTTAAATTCACTTGGTATTGCTTGCTTGAATCTTCCCATTGATGTTTAGGACTGCAATTGATCAATCTCTTGTTGGCATATGTACACCCCGTGCGGATTACCTCGATATTACCTTAAGTCACAAGCATTATAATTAGTGTACAATCTCAATTCCAACATCAAAATATACTTTATACTGTATTACTCTTTAAGGAAGTTTCATAACATCAATTTAAACAAAATAAGCACTTTTTTTGGAGAATAACTCTAGAGAAAAGCAAATATTTTTTTTCATAGGATTCGAAGTATGCTTTAAGTGTGTTGTCCCACGGAATGGTTTCAAAGGAAGAACGTTAATCGTTTTTAATCACGGCCATGTCGGAAGTTGATACTTGTCACTGATAGTAGTTCATGATCTCAACAATGCTGCAGAGTGCAAGCTCCGTTATTTAGTCTCCGATCACCAAAAACACTATCCTCTGTGCTTGGACATTCAACTCACACATCTAAGTTGCCAGCAAGTACCGTAACACCTGTTGAGCACACTTTGTTGGAAATCAGTTGGTAACAATTTTATCTGCGCTCTAATCTGATGAAGGGAGAGTGAAGATAACACAAACACGTTGCATGCCAAACATTTATCTCTTACTCTGATTGAATATTACATACAACGTGGTTTCCGAACCAACTGATGGGAAACTAGTTAACAGTACTTTACTTGAATGCTGAATACAGATCTCTGAGATATAACAGTTATTAAGGGATGTAATCTCTAGATGATGCATGTGGTTTTCAAATCAGCTGTGAAAGTTGTTCAGATGGACCATAAATTTCGATGAAGATCTATTAGATCACTGGAAGAATAGGGATAAACTGCATGAAACTAAAACGACGTTAAGATCTTATTTTATGACGTTTTTTCATTGAAGTTGTAGATTGATAATTTAGGTACTAGAGGTAATCAATTATTAAGTGGAAATTCTGAACTGATACAAGTGACTGGAATGAATAAATCTACTGTTTAGTATCATGTTAAAACTTAAACAATTAATCTAATAATCATTTTTGTACACAATTCTGTATATGATCACCAGATTGTATTTTAATAATCATAAAATGTTTGTGCAAATAAATTTTTTTCTTCCATGTCCACATATTTTGCATGTATTCTTTAGGCTTTTAGTCACTTCACCTTTGAACGAAGTGGTCATCGTTTAATTGTAGTTGATATACAAGGTGTTGGTAATCTATGGACAGACCCTCAAATTCATACATTCGATGGTAAATCTTATGGAGATGGAAATCTGGGGATTCGTGGAATGGCTTTATTTTTTTATACACATCGATGCAATCCATTATGTTTAGCTCTATCATTAAGCGCTTTTGATTTACCAGTAAATGAAAAACTATCTACACCATTTAGTCAATTATCTATGGAAGCAGCGGATAATCAGACTGAAAATACAAATGGGATCAGTGATAATAATAATGTAAGTTGAAGAATAACTCACTAGTTCTCATTCCAAATGGATATCTTGCTGTAGATCTTGAGTTCTAGTTGTTTCTTCATAGATATCCTTTCGTTCCGTGTTTTCGAATAATCTTCTTTAATGTTTATTACTTCTTATCATTGCTACCAAAATCATTTCCATTGCTTCAACATTCATTATACTAATTTTATCTCATGCCGATTTGATATGGCAACTTGGGCTAATGCACATATGTCCCAGGCTCTATGTTGATTATGAATGACTGATTGAATGGATGTATCAATTGAAGAACTATTGGTTTGGTAATCAGAAAACACTGAACAGTTTTTTTATCCGTTTCAGGATCTCTCAGTAGTACGTAACATTTATGGAATTTTAACAATGGTACTAAAATTTTCATGATGAATCATCATTTTCTTCATGATTACTGTTGTGAATATGCGAATACTAGAATTGTTTGGACTTTCGAAACTACCTCACGGACTATTATTGCTTATATTTTTTATCAAGTAATTATTAGATAATCGGACTATTGTATTTTTGTCCTTGGTATAGTGAGCTTCCGTTAGACCTATCGACTACTGTTATACTTATTATCTTTTAATTATCATTAATTAACTATGAATCTTTTGCTCCGTTCCCTACCATCTATTGTGTGATTGTGTGTAAAGGGTTATTTTTTATTTGGAGTGCATTGCAGTGTGATAATTCATGTGCATAAACCAATAAGTATCTGAAATAAAAATACTCGGTGCTTGAAATATGGATAATAGAAACTCCTTTGGCATGTTCTGTTACTCAGGACTACAGGAAGAAAGTGTTATGATGGGTGGTGTCTGAAATCTAATACTGATACACGACGTGTTATGCGCTAGCCTCCCACCAACTAACTACTTGAGCAAAAACACAAGAGTGGATGCTAGAGTATATTGGGCTACCGAATAATATGCAAAGACTTAGATATATATTTATTTATTTCTACCCCTTAACAATCCATATGTACTTGCCCGTGAGGTCGTTTCAGATTGTCAGCGTCGGTGAGAGCAGTTCTGCTCTATGCTTGTGAAACCTGGCCTCTCCGAGTTGAGGATGTTAGAGGACTCTCTGTGTTTGATCGTCGTTGTCTCCGAAGGATTGCTGACATCCAGTGGCAACACCATGTCAGTAATGCAGGGGTTCGGCATCGTGTGTTCGGGCACAGAGACGATAATCCGATAGGTGTCACTATCTTTAAACATCGACTTCGGTGGCTTGGACATGTTCTACGAATGTCGTCCCAGAGAATTCCACGTCGTGCATTATTTCCGGACCCTGAGACTGGTTGGAAGAAGCGGAGAGGTGGTCAGTGTATGACGTGGTGTCGAGGTATGAAAGAAAGCTGCAAAGGGCTGGCTTGCGTTGGTCCTTCACGACTCCCTGGCTGGGGTCCTAGAGATGGTGCGACACAGTGGCTAGAGACGTTATCAGATATGGCTCAGAATAGAAGCCAGTGGCGATCCTGCTGTAACCTTCTTTTACCTTCTTCATAAAAAGTAGTTGTATCTTCCTTAACTTAAAGATTTCTTCTGGCTGTACCTTTCCGTTTCCCCATTATTATTATTATTATTATTATTATTATTATTGTCACACCGCCTTACACTAATCTCTGGTCGTTATTGTTCCTCTTCTTTTTTTTCTTTTACGCTCCTTGCCTTTTTCTCTCCCCATTCTCATTGTTTTGTGTGGCGCATATATATTTGGTGCCCCCTTGTACCAATATTTATGTGTTCAAATAAATAAATAATAAATAGATGTATTCACTCTTCATCTTTCGATCTTAAATTCCGGTATCTGTTCATGCATATCTTTCCACTCTTTCTTTTCAAACAATCTTTATAGTTCTGAGTCTTTCTTTTTATCACCACCACCTTATTTCGATCTCTTCTATTATTTTCATTTAGTTGTGCTAATATAGTTTGACTTTGACCAAATCATTTATGCTAGATTAGGGATCGAAGATACGACTCGAGAAGGAAATATAAATTGATGAAATAGACAGATTATGAAGAATTTAGAAGATCGAGATTTAAGGAAAGCCGAAAAGTAAATGCAGCTGAGCCATTGCGAACGATTTTGAGCCATGTTACCCAACTTCTAACAATTAGTTACATCGACCAGATGGTCTTCCCCTACCTACATGACTCACTCTATTAGTCTGTCTTCATGAACTGATACTGTCTTGGTTTAGCCCGTTCTACCTTCCTTTCAACTTACTCATACACCAATCATCATCGTGTATGCGAGGTAATCTGTGGGTAGACATGCGTAATACATATCCTCACAATCTTAATCGTTAAATGTTTACTACCTCATCAATTTATTGGCCACGCTTACCTAGTACATCGCACCACACGACAAAGATGACGCGAATTCAGGTATATGGTTTTGTACTTAATAATTAATCAGTTGTATCAAATTTTAACTTCTATCAATAAAAACTCTAAATCGGCTGTTCAATATAGTCTTGAATGCATTCAGTTCTAATTTTCCTAACTATATGTGTTTTATCATTCTTGTTATTTCATTCTTTTGTAATCTCTTTTTCTTCACTTTTCTTGTACTTTCTTTTGTGTTTTTACCATCTATCTTCTGTAACATCATTTCTTACCCTTTTTAGATTTCCCATCTATTGAGTTTTTACTTATTTTACTGACATAAAACGTGATGATTCCCGCTTATTTTCTATGCCTTGAGTTAATTCTACCTGTATTTTCTAACAAAAATTTTAATGCTGACATATTCGATATTCTACATAGTATAGTTCAATGTGTGTTGAGGTTAAAAGTCTCAAACAAATCTACCGAAATTGTAATACTAAAATTGATCAGTTCACATGATATTCAGATTGTGTGTAACTTTCAGGATTTGGTAGGTTTACTCTCTCCTGAAGGTACCTTGTGTGTTAAAGCAGTGTGAGGAAGCAGTGTGTGAAATAAGCACATAAGATGCAATTGCATCTAATAATGAAAGTAATTGACAACAGTCGAAAATAGTACAAGTGTGAGATTAAGACAACTTGATAATTGAAACAAGAAGTTGATAGCGTATGGTTTCGAACGCGTTAAAGTATAATATCTTAAAAATAGTTTACTGTATACTAGGTAATCTTTTGAATGTCCATATCAATTTCTTTTCTTAAATATTATTGAAGATGTGTGATAATTTAAACGAGACTAAACTGTAGTAATGAAGAAAAATAGTATAGGTTTTTTAGATAACGTACACTAACCTAGATTGTCTCAAATTTTTATAATTTTTTGCTTTTGAAATTATATCTACATTTTTTACTATCTCATTTTATGGTTACTTATCTGTCAGATTTTATCTTATTAATTAACTCAGTTTAGAGAGGAAACACAAAGGGGTTGTTGCTTTCGTGATAATATAGATGGATGAGATTCATAACAAAAATATTATTATCATTGTTATTATAAATACATCACATAATTATATATTAACTATTTGCCTAACTATCTACAATCAGGTGGAACTCAGTGGAACAGTAGCTATTCCAGCTTCTCGTCGTGATCGATATGGTATTCGTCGTTTGGTTTCAGAAAATATTGATTCATCTTATGATTTACAAAACAATGCCAATAATCACAACAATGACACTAGTAGTGATTTTGTAAATCCAATGAACTTTGTGGAGTCTCATAGTGTACCTTCGCCTAAATTACCATTTCTACCTTCGAGATCTCCTGTTTTATGTAGAAATGATATATTACAAAAGACTGATCAAATCAATCATAATTCAAATGTCGTTGCTAATAATGGAAAACACAATACAAAGTATAGTACTACTACTACTACTACTACTACTACTACTAATATAATAATAATAATAATAATAATAATAATAATAATAATAATAATAATGGTAATGATGATGATGCACGTACTGATGATTTAATATTTGGTCCAATTTCACTTCATAATAATTCGTATGATTCTGGTATAAGTTTTGATGGCCCATCGTTTGGTAATGTGTTCAAAGCACAACAAAGTATTATTAGTGATCCTGGTTGTGATCCAGTATGTTCAGATTTGGATCAGTCAAATTCTCATTTGAATTCCAGCGAAAGTTCACAACAACTCAGTAAGGTAAGTTTTTGGAAACTTTTTATTCCAGGAAAAATTATTTCTAAATGCACTCATTAGTAATAATAATAATCGCAATACTATTTTTATTATTCGTTTACGTCTTATTCTCAGATATTAGTGTCGTAAAAAATTTTAAATTTTCATCAACATTTCGTTTTCAGCTGTTATCTTAGCACATACTTACAGTTAAAGCTGCGCGTTATGATAGCTCAGTTGATCGGTAAGATGCCGTATAACTTGCTCCCCATGTTCCAACTGAATAGTTATTAGAAGACAAAACTGTTAACCATGTCTGGCCAATCGAATGTAACTCTGACGTAAGGAAACACGGTCTAATAGTTGCGACTAAATTATTCTAGACATCTGTAGTTATTATTCTGTTTTATTTTTACAAACACTTCTCGGACCACTCTGTTTATGTTTGAAAATAGCTACTATTTCAGAGCGATCAAACCCTCAGTTTCAGCCAGATTACTTCCTATAATATTTGTCTTTGGGGGGGGGTTGGAGTTTCGTCACGGGTTCAGAAAGCTCAGTTGGCTTTTTCATCTTGGGTCGCTTATGGTGTAACACGGGAAATCTTTGGCAGACAAAAGAGTGTGTATACTGCGATGCAGCTTTATTCTTTCCACTTTATGGCTGTGTAACATGACCTTTGCGCGCTATTTAAAAAGGACAGTGGTATTCTTTCTCGTTGAGTTAATTAACTGTTTTGATCGTAAATTACGCATCAAAACTACTGTTTACACTTTAATTGCATCTACCCCAGTTAAAGTGATATTTTATTGAGTTTTTCGATTTTGCTTCTGTGTATTTATTGCATCGAAGCATACTTGGTCGACTTTTACTTGGTTTATTTAGTTAAGGTTTGAAAATCCTTCTACATATCCTGTTTTCGTCACCGTTCTAGTTGATTTTCAAGATGGCTAGGTCTACTCATAAATGTGGACAACCATACTGCTTATTTCCCGTGGATGAAGGGATGCAATGTGATGAGTGTAATAAGTGGTTCCATAAGATGTGCACCCGATTAAGCCCCACTGCATATAAAAGGTGTTCAAAGCCCAACTCTCATTGGCTTTGTAGTTTTTGTTGCTCGAGCAAAACATTGCTTATCCAGGAAGCAATTAGTCTCCTGGTGTTGGCTAATAAGAAGGTTGATGAGGGCTGTACTGATAACATTGGTACGGATGGCGAAGATTGCGTTAGTGTCGTAAGTGCTATCACGGCGCAAGCCAGACATCTACCTGTGCAACCCACAGTTAAACGTTCTCCCCCGAAACGATCAGTGAGTGACACGTCATTAGACGTTGGTGGCCATATTGCTACAGCAGCAACCGGTGACCCAGATAAAACAATTACTGTCCCGAGTTGTTCTAATGTAGACGTTTCGACTGATGGAAAATGGATGACGCGAAAACGCAGAAGAGTAGGAAAGATAGCTAAAACTAATGACTGTTTACTTGGTAAGTCCTTGGTGGACTCTCAGACCAATCCGCCAAAGTCTCATAGTAAAGCTTCGTCTGACATTGTTGTGAGTCATTCGCTTGACTCCCAGGACTCTGTTAAAATAAAAACTAATCGTAAGCTACCAGTAGTTAAAATACAGGATCTAACGTCACGGTCGAAAGCTGTGAACACAGTTTCAAAAGAAGCTAAACCCATCCCTAGTTTAATTATTTGGAATCTAGAGGAGTCGAAAGACAACGACCCTGCTAAAAGACACGCACATGACCTACAGTTAGTGGAGTCTGTGGTCAGGAATGTACTACCTGAAGAGGTTTCAGGGGTACATATTACAAAAGTAATACGACTTGGTAAATGGGTTGGAGGCGAGACCCAACCAAGAAGGATCCTGAAGCTGGTTCTCGGGAGTTTCGAAGAAAGAGACATATTATTGAAAAGCGCACAAAAAACTCGTGCCTCAAATATCCGTATTCGACCAGATTGGCCGCTTGAGGATCGAATCAAGTGGAAGAATGCTCTTACGGAGTTGAGGACTCGCAAATTAAATGGCGAAAATAACCTTACCATTAAGGGTTTTCGGGTAGTCAGGTCTTGGAAGCCAATGCTTCCGAGGCCTGTATGGGTAGAACGATTGATTTCCAAAACACCTTAAGTGTGTGCTACACGAACGCTCGTAGTCTTAGAAATAAAACGTCCGAGCTAAGTCTGATGGTGCAAGAATTATGTCCCGATATAATCGTTGTTACAGAAACTTGGTTCACCGTTGATATAGACTGTTCTCCTTTCATTGCTGGTTATATCTGTATCAGAAGTGATAGAGTTTCAAGTCGCAAGGGGGAGGTATAATATTTTACGTTAGGGATCACTTTCGTATACAATCAACCATATCGGAGGCTCATATCAGTGGCACATGTGAGGTTGCATGTTGTAAGATTAAATCTAGAAATGGGTTAGTGACTATAGGGGGAATATACCGTAGTCCGTCTTGTCTGGCTGACGACTTTATCCTAAGACACATCTGTTCTTGGAGTATGGCAGAATGTTGTCTCATCATTGGGGACTTCAACGCACCGCATATCAACTGGATAGAGCTTACAGCTCCAGGTAGCGGTTTCGATAGCGACCTTTTATCTACCGTTATTCAGTGTGCACTTGTACAATGTATCACAAAACCGACACATATTGATTTGCATCATGTTCCGTCACTGCTGGACCTCGCCCTCACCCACCACTCTGAGGATGTCTTTGATATCCAGCACCTTCCTCCACTAGTGAACAGTGATCACGTTGTAATTCACTTTAAGTTTAGGACACATGGTATACAATTCGTATCTGCTCCACCCCGTCCCAATATCTGGCGAGCTAATATTCCGGAAATCAGAAACCGTGCTATCTCGACCGATTGGTCGGTCGACGCGGATGGATTGATCGAAGATGAATGGAATAAGTTTAAGGCTACATTCGAGTCCGTAACGTCGCCGTTTATCCCATGGTCAGCACGTAAGCTATCACATTGCCCTCCATGGATTAATAAGGAAACCCGGAAGCTGTTAAAGCGTAGGAAACATTTCTGGGACTTATTCTTGTTGACAGGTCATGCACCATTTAAGCGTGAGTATCAAAAATACCGTAATATCTGTAAGAAAACCATAGCGAAATCCCGTACCACTTACGAACGACAGTTAGTATATGATAGCCGTACTTGTCCGAAACGATTGTTTTCGTATGTTAAACGGCAAATGAAACGTAGTGATGGTATTCCCCCGTTGCTGTTACACGAAAATTCAGAATTACTAGCTGAATCAGATCGAGCAAAAGCTGAGACTTTTTCAGATTATTTTAGCGAAGTCTTCTCTACGTTTATTGTAACAAATACTTGTCCCACTCACACCGAGATACCAACCATTGAATCCGTACAGGTGACTGAGGAAACTGTCCTTCCGTTGATAACTAACCTCAAACCTGGTAAGATACCGGGCCCTGACGGGTTACATCCACGGTTGCTGTCATCTCTTGCGGACATTATTTCAAAACCGCTTGCGACACTCTTCAACATGTCCCTCTCACTCGCCCAACTCCCTAGAGATTGGAAGGACGCTATAGTTAGTCCTATATTTAAGGACGGTCAGCGACAGATAGTATCTAACTACCGGCCTGTCAGTCTAACTAGCATAGTCGTTAAGTTACTCGAAAAGATAATTCGGGTTAGGTTGCTAAGCCACATAGATTTACACAATCTGTTAGCTCCTGAGCAACACGGATTTCGTAACAAGCGTTCATGCTTGACTAACTTGCTTATTGCGAGGGAGGATTGGACAGCAGCCCTAGATCACGGTCTGTCTGTCGACGTGATATTCATAGATTTTAGCAAAGCGTTTGACAAGGTTTCACACGTAGGTCTTATGCAGAAGCTCACGAGCTTCGGAATAATAGGTACTGTACATGAGTGGATAGGAAATTTCTTATGTGACCGCAGACAGAGAGTTAGGGTCAATGGAACGCTATCCGATTGGAAGCCGGTCAAAAGTGGTGTACCCCAAGGCACCATCTTAGGCCCTCTGCTCTTCCTTCTCTACGTTAATGAGTTACCACTGTTACTTAGGTCGTCGACATTATTGTTTGCAGATGATGTAAAAATCTGGAGAACAATAAAAAGTGCGGCTGATCATGTGGATCTTCAAGCTGATTTAGACGATTTAGTTAGATGGGCTCGAGAGTGGGGCTTAGAAATTAATGCTAGGAAGAGTGTACTAATGCACGTCGGTCACGGTAATAGTTACCGTTACACTATTGAGGGTAAACCTCTTCCATGCGTTCAAGAGCATAAGGACTTAGGAGTAATATTAAGTCATGACTTAAAAACAACTGCGCATTGCAAAGCAGCCGCTGTCAAAGGTTTTCGTGCGTTATGGTCACTTCGCCGAGCGTTCAAATCTTTTGACGAGGAAACGTTTCGAATTTTATACCCCATATATGTTAGACCACATTTAGAGTACTGTATCCAAGCAGCTAGCCCGTGTCTAGTAAAGGATACTAACTCCCTTGAGCGTGTCCAGCGTGTGGGAACGAAATTAGTGAAGGGTCTTTCTAGTCTCCCTTACGATGAGCGCTTAAAACGCCTAAATCTTTTCCCCTTGTCGTATCGTAGGACACGAGGTGACCTTATACTGGCATTTCGTATCTTTAATTATGATTTGGGTGTTAATATGTCTTATCTTTTTGCTCCCTCCAGCACTAATAATCTCCGAGGTCATAGCAAGAAGGTTCATAAACCACGATCTAATAAACTTAAAGTGGGATCCCGTTTTTCTCATCGAGTAGTCAATCATTGGAACGCCTTACCCGAACAAGTGGTATCAGCCCCATCAGTGAATACTTTCAAGGAAAAGCTGGACCTTCACTGGAAAGCAATGTGTCAGGATTAACACAGGTTCATCAACCTACTATCCTTATTACTGAAGACTGAAGACTGAAGACCTTTAAAATTAAGTTATTTCACAGGTTGAAATCATGAGTCAGTTGAAGCTAGACCA